ATAGTAAATTGATGGGAAATGTGTGGTTGAAAAATAAGGAAAAGTTTTTGATTTACGTGTAATATTATTTTAATAAAGAATGTATAGTTGAAAAGAAGAGAGAGAAAAATGGGTATCAAACGGGGCCTAAGACGTGAAATAGAATAATACAGTCTTGTGACCAGCAACAAAAAGAAAAAGAAAAACTCAAACCTTTTATATATTGATATAATAGTTGTACTATAGTAATCATCGTACTTTGTTGTCCCCAAAAATTTAATATAAGCAGCAAGAAAATCTTCACTCAAGTTCAAAATACAGCAGAAAGTTCAAAGAATATTACTAGACATTTCATTCTTACAGTAGGAATATATGGTCAAAAAATGATAAATGCCCAGTACAAAACTAGGGATTCATAGGTACTCAATGCTAATATATATTGTTTTCATCCCGAGTAAACAACAGACACAAACTATAGCATTATTTCTATATGCGTTGTATGTATGTTTCTTTGCAGTGTAAACAACTCATGTCGTAATTTTTGCAGCAGTCAATTAATTGTGCTCCATAGATAAACCCGGGTTGCAGATAACGTATGTGGTCGTTAACAAACCTCGAAATTTTTTTGGCACGAGAAGATATTTGATCACATAACATTTAGTGGCTCACCCTCGGCATCCTTATCCTTCATCATGGCCCGATCTTCTGTTTCTGCAAAGGTAATAGGCAATAAAATAATAGTAGTCAAAAAACAGTTTTCTTGAGAACGCTGAATTACTTATAGTGTGTCTGGAAAGATTTGGAATGTGTTGTTAAAAAGTGGTGGGTTCATTATATTATGTGGGTGAAAATGAAGTTAGACCATTTATTTATAGATCTATCCAAACAAATGCTAACATGTAGAAAGATGCTAAAATTATACAGGCTACAAGAGTTCGAGAAGTATAAGAGTTTATCGCCGTTTATTGACATTACATGACCTGAATCAAATGTTCATCATATTATAGTTTAATGGCTTGTTTGGTAAGGTAAATTGGATAAGATCAGACAATATCAAAAAGAAAGAAACAGAAGTTAAAATCTTGCCTATTGTACTGTTAGTCGTGTCCATGTCCACTATATCGTACTAAACATACTCTAAAGGTCACTCTACTATAGACAACAAAATACTCACTTGGCTTATCTGCAATTGCCGAGAGACGTCTCTGTAGAATGGATGCCACAAAGAGGAAGATTGAGCACATACCAAACATAACAGTGATGGGGAATGCATCAACCTTCAAACAAACAAAGGCCTTTCAATGTCTTGCAATTCAGCAATAATAAATGTCGTTGAATTTAGGGCGTAATGACAATAGAGTGTTTAAAATGTACAAAATCCACGACCAAGATTAAGGCACTTGGACCAAGAGAAGTGGATTTGTTTACGATATTACAATGTGCCCTAACCGAAGGCATATCTATCATATAGATAAAAAGAAAACTTCAAAAAGAATGAAAATAAACAGAAGCAGGGTATTTGACAGCTACTCATGAAAAACAAGAAATAAATATATAGCTTAAGGCCATATAACAAAAAGATCCAGCAACGTACATTATATAGAACAATGCAAACAAACATGTTTAGGGGGATGCGGAAGAAGTTCATGATGGTGCTTCTAGCCTCCTCAGGGACATATTGGGATCTCATCTTCATAATGGATGGCCAGAAAATCCCTACACAAGCCTCAAAAGTGCAAAAGCCAAGAACCTGGAGACAGCCCGAAAATGAGATGCCACCCCCCTTCAGCTTCAATGGAGCGACCAAGAACTGCCACAAATAATAAGAAGTCAGATATTATCCCCAACAGAGGGAGAAAAAATACAAACAAATAGAACTCTGGACATACGCTGGTCACAATTGGAAGCATAAGAGAGGCAGAAGAAATAACAAATACAATCTGCATGTAGCTCTCCACTTTAGGTGAGTTGCGAGCTAATAGACGAGATGCTATTGAGCTTCCCAACATTGAAGCCAGCATAAAAGTAGCGAAAATAAAACCATGGGGAATATCTTCATCATTTGGACTCAGAGCAGGTGTCCAGAGAAATACAAATGTATACATTGAACCTTCAAACAGAGACTGTATTGCACCCAGCAAAGCAATCTTCTCATCTGACCAAAGTAAACCATCATACTAAGTTATTTTGGATGGAAAAAGTGGAACAAGGAAATTAATAGGGAAAAAGAAGAAGCAATTTCTGTACGTAAACGCATTAAGCAAAAGATGCCAGACCTGCCACTTGAAAGTATCCACACAGGACTTAGTGGACAGTGGACACAGCCTACAACGGTGACATGAAATACAGGGGATGTTATTTTAATCTTACTATTTTAAATTGGCAGACAGGATTCCAAAATTGACATGATTCCAGTTTTGCAATACACTCCTTAAAAGTTGCAGATTGTAGAACTGATATGAAATACGGGGGATGCTATTTTAATCTTACTATTCTAGGTGATAAATTGGCAGACAGGATTCCAAAACCGACATGATTCCAGTTTTGCAATACACTACTTAAAAGTTGGTAGAAATTTCCACAGTCAAGAGTACATCATACAACATAGAGACAGATCTCAAAATCTACCTGAGGCAATTGCTACAGCTGCACCCTTGAACTGAGCAAGTAAATCCTTGTTCTCTGGCGGGTCCCCATAGTTTTCACTCCATGATGATAATATTATGGCCATTCCAACAGCTAGAAAGCAGGCAGCAGCATCAAAGGGTGATACTGGCCCAAGACTAAAGGTATCAACAAGCAGATTTCCAAACAACCCAGAGATAATAGCAACGAGACCATTTCCAAAAAAAATTGCCTTAGAGAAAGTTAATGAGAGCCATTGCTGATCAAAATTCCTCTACAAAGACATATGAAACATAAAAATAGCATCAATATTATAAAACAGAGCAGCTTCAATAGTAGTCATATTCTTAAAGAACTACCTTGATAAAAAAAAATTAAATGTAGATCGAATCATCTTTTCATATAATTCATAATGAATGCTATTCCATTGATGGGACAGAGGTGCACATTTAAGTGACTCAAGTGTTGTTACCAATTCAATGTGGCTATGGGTGGCCAAATTACCTGTCACCATGATTTATAAGGGGTGGCAGGGGTGTGCACTCACCTTAAAGTGTTCTGCCACAAGCCATGACTCGAATGCCGAAAACAAAAGAGATGTGGCAATGCCACCCAAAATACGTCCTAGCATAAGAACTTTGTATTGAGAAGAGTGCTTTGTTATGCAGCTCAAAATATATGTTATGCAATAAGTCACACAAGCTCTCTTGCGTCCTCTGAAATTTCATCAAGAAGCGCCAGTGTCAAATTTTATATAGAAACAATATGTTTAAATGGTTCTGGGAAAATATCTCACTGTTTGTCTGCTAGAGATCCAACAATTGTACCAAACAACATGGAAGATCCAAATCCTGCAATAAAGAGCTGTCCAATTTCCCCCTTCCCAAAACCATAAGTAGTGTAAAGGTAGTAAACATATGGACCCTGCAACCAGTCACCCGCTATTGCCAAATGAAAAAAACAATCATCAGCAAGAGGAAATTCCAATCCTTGAAAAAAAAAAAAAAAA